CCACTTTTACTGCATTATATTTAGTAGACGATAAAGATAACAGTCTTCTTGCAGCATATGGTGAATTCTAGAGCTGGGCAAACTTAGGAGCGGATGCGGTTTAGGCAGTGATTACTTTACGAGTGTCATGGTAAAATTTAGAATTAGTGCTTCGGTAAATACAAACAGCCTTTGACTTGAAGCAGTTAAAACAAAACTAGGATGTAAATGTCTTTTCATGTGGGTGTCACGAAGAGAATTCTTGTCAGCACCGCTGCTGCTGAGGTGGGATTCAATTTGGACTTGCAATCTGTTGAAGCGCGTTCAACAGGTGGTTGGGCATACAGATTGGAACAGCTTCGGATTGACAGCCTGCAGTTATCTTGATTAGGAATTTTTAATAGTTTTGAAATCATTCAAACATTGTTTTCGGCTGACTGCTCTTGGATCTCTACGAATGCTTTGGTGGAGGCACTTTACCCACCGCTAATTGTTAGACTTAAAAACCAGCGTGTATCGTCTGGTCTGGTCGTTGTAGTAAGCCTTTGAATCACGATCTGTCAAATTCCACAGATGCGATAATGCCACTTCTCTGAGGCGAGGATGAATGAGAGAATGCCGTTCTCCCATTGCCTGTTGCAGGTATTGTGACCATGCGTGGTATTTGTGGTCTGTAATTCCATAGTTTGGGGTTTGTATAGCCAGCCAAATTACTAACTTCATCAATGAACTTGTCTAGCACCTCCCCTCCCTTGGTCTAAACTCATAAATATGCACAGCTGTTCTTATGGAGAGGCAAATTTACATTCCCCCTTCTACAGGCGAACAAAGGTATAAATAACAACGAAATTTGGTGCATATTCTTGCCAAATTTTTTACCTTTCTTTTCTTTTGGTAGTTAGGTTTGAATTACTGTTGCCACTACCTTTATTACAATGTAGAATTGTATTAGTCGCTCTAATTTTGGATTTTACTTAATGCATTTAATGCATCATTTAAACCATAAGAACGGGAAAATTTGAGCAATTAACCAATAGGGATTTTAATTTCCCCGTCCACATGCACCTTTCTACCCTCGTCTTTCTAGGTTCTCTCATGCATTTGATCTTCTAGGTAACAGTACAGAAGGCTGGGTGTTAATTTGATGAGACATTGCCACAAATACCCCGACCTCAGTGGTAAGGTACTGCCTTAAGGTCACTGTACCTAGTATAGTGGTTCCTTTTTGTTCACCTTGGCTTTTCTTTTCAATGTCAAGTTTTATACAATAAAAACTCTTGTGCGAGGCCGGTTACAGTTTCCAGATGTCGGCAGCATATGAACTCTTGCCCATTTTATGTCAATATTCAAGTCAATGGAATGCTTAGGTAAATTTGGCTTTCTAGTTAGTGGAACGAATTTCTTCATTGTTTCTGATGCACGGTTAACTCCAAGAAGAATGTTTGTGCATCAGGGTGCTAGTTAGCAGTACAATTCAATGTGCCCCGCCTTTTTACTAGTGCACTCAGGCGTATGGCTATCGTGCGTAACATCAACGGCCAATCAGAATGACCGGCTTGTTCCCACGTCATAGGCTGAATGATGCGATTGGCTAAAGCTTGGTGATAATTGGTCGCGCGTTTTGACGG